AAAAAAACCGAGGACAAGGAAAAGCGGAAACCGGAGAAGGAAATCCAGGGGAAAGCGGTTTGGCTGGACCTGCCCTAAACGCCCCCAAAGGAGACCCCCCCTCCGAATGGGACCCGGCCACCTGCCGCCCCTCAGCTCTTCCTAGGTACACGGCACAGAGGGCACCCGACCCCCTCCCCCCCTGCGCAACTCTCGGGGCAGAAGGAACCCCAGGGGCCTTCGGCTGAGGGGATCTGTCCCCGGGACCTTTCGGGATTCCTTGGAAGTCACCCGACCAGCACTAGAACCTGAGATTTTTCATACCTCCGTTGGGCGAAGAGCCCCCCCTGTCAAACACTCCTGCGTAAACTGGGACGGGGTGGCCTTAAAGGGAGAGCAACGAAAAAGGCCCAAGGGATCGGACTCTGAAAAAAGGATCTTCTTGGCAGAGGCGGGAAGGTGCCCTAGAGAGGATAGGGGGGCACGGAGGGGGGCAGGAAGGATGGTGGGGAACTTTCCAGAAGCCTCTGGCCTGGAAGCGCTCCTCCTGCTCCGCTTCAGGGAAGAGAGACGGAAACGGGGGCCTCGGTGACACCCCAGTGCTGATCCACCAAGACTCCAAAGCTCAGCTCCAGAGTCTAATACTTCATTTCATTCCTAGCACTTCTCATTCGTTTCAATCCAGGTTGTTGGGATGCAGATATATTGAACGCACGCATGCACACAAACACATTTCGATACCAATTTAAAGCATCCTTCTTTGGTTTCAAGAAGGACCTTGGCGGGAATATGCCTCCCCAAACCAGCCACTTCCAGCTTGTTCGTCGTCTCCTCCCAGCTGGTCATTCCTGGGGTGCCCAGAGACGACTCGGTGACCCTGAGATCCCGCACAGCCCTGCCTGAGATTGGATGCTCCTCTTCCCTTCTTCCGGAAGAGGAGGGAAAGGCAATCTACTTTCTGGTTTGTAGGGCTGTCCCAGAGTCTGACAGCCCAGGGGGGGTGAAAAAGCATCCAAGCTCACCTCCACCCCAAGGCAAAGGCTGCTTAGGGGTCATTTGGATCGCTGACCTAAGGTGGCCCATCTAGGATGCTTCCCAGGGCAGTTTCCCCGGGGAAGATTCTTGAAGGAATCACTCACATGGGACCCACAAGCCCGTCGTTGTAATTCTGCACATCGCTAAGCCAAATCAACGTTCGAAATCTGTTTTGGCTGCCTCAGAGCAGAAACATCTGGAGGAAGCTTTCCCTCCGGGCCATGATGCACAAAGCGGCTTAAAAACGGGCTTTCCCGTTTGCACCATTTCTTTAAAGTAAGAATTTGCGTTCTGTGCCTTATTGCTGCCTAACTGACTCTCAGATTCTTTGGGAGCTTTGAGGCAAAGGCTGTTAACCCTTTGAAGAGAGAGATCCAGCACCGGCGGTCCCTTTGCTCTTTATCTCCTGCTGGGTGTTCCTTCCTGAGTCCAGAAGATCTGCTTGAATCAGAAGGTTTCTTAGCGGCTCTCTCCATCCTGACGGCAGCAATGTTGACAAAAACCACAAGCCCAAAACCTAAAGAACCCATCCGGCACAGGCTTGCTCCTTTGCTTTCGTTTTTTTTTATCTGTTATGATCTCAGAAGGCAGCATTTCTGAGGATGGATACATGGCGCATGGGTACATTTCCAGCAGCCGAAACTGGGACCGCCAAACCCCAAATTGGCCCTACCAGACAGAGGGGGAGACAGCCAGTCTGCCTCCTGGGGCATCTGGGAAGGAGTTCCGTGCGAGAGACCTCGACGGGTCAAAGCTCCCAAACTCACTCGGCGCTATGCACGCTAACCTTCTCTGCCCCACCCGCCCCCCTGTGCTTACTTGGATCTGGTGAGCCATCCAGCAGGTCCTTGTTGGGTGGGTGGGCATTCATTCCTGCCTTTGCTGAAAAGGAAGGGGATACAGAGAGCTTTCAAGGAACTGCATCAGATTCTGAAGGACCACACACAAGTCGAACAAATAATATGACACGCAGAAAATCCATCCCTTGATTTGCGCCTCAGCCCTGACCTGCTTTTAAAATCTACAAGCTACAGCTTGGGTTTATTATTATTTTTATGCTGTAAAGTTCTGTGAGGATTCTAATCAACAAGGGGGGTTACACGCTTCTTAGCCACCAACCCAAAGGAGGTTTCTCTTGCTCCAGTCGCTCTTTGAAGGGAGGGAGCCCCCATCCCAGGAACACCACCTCCCACACGGACAAAGGCAACAGAGAAGGAACTTGGCTGCGACAGGAGAACAGACAACTATCTTGTTCCGGGTTGCATTAGCAAAGGGATAGAATCAAGCTCACGTGAAGTACTAGTACCGTTTCATAAAGCCTTAGTAAGACTTCACTTAGAATACTGCATCCAGTTTTAGTCACCACATTATAAAAATGTTGAGACTTTGGAAAGAGCAAGAAAGATTAGGAGCCTGAAGGCTAAAACATATGAAGAAAGGTTGTAGGGATTGGGTATGTTTAGTCTAGTGAAAAGAAGGGCTAGGGACGACGTGATAGCAGTGTTCCAGTATTTGAGGAGCTGCCCCAAAGAAGGGCGGGTGGGGTGTTCAACCCATTTTCCAAAGCACCTGAAGACAAGACAAGAAGCAACGGACGGGGGCTAACCAAGGACATAAGCAACCCAGAACGGAGGAGAAATTTCCTAACGGTGAGAATAATTAACTATGGAAGGGCTGGCCTTGGACTAGATGACCTCTAGTGCCCTTTCCAACTCTTCTTGTTCTGTTCAAGTTGCCAAAACTCCAGCAGCCATTCAGTTTTGAGCGCCCATGAAATCCTAGCAGCAGGAAAATGGCTAAAACGGTTCGTGGGATCAGCTCTTCCTGGCTACCTTAAGGCATCCAAAGCCAGGTGGGTTTTGTGGACGAGAGTCAGGCCAGCTGGAGAAGCAACCCCCGCCTCAGCCCGGAATCTTTGGCTTGTTTACCTGGACCTTGGCTGCCCGCCAGCTGGTTTGGATAATCCTTCATGTCCCTGAAGCTCAGGCAGGAAGTGCTGTCCTCCGACTGCCTAGAGAGGCCATGCCTGGAGGGAAGGAAAAAGAGACCCACCTGGGACTAGGGCGCCTCTGCTTGGGGCCAGACCCCCAACTCCATCCCCTCCCTAAGGGACCTCAGCCAAAGCAAGAGCCGCGGGAGCTCAGCAAGCGCCTTGCCAGTCAACCGAAGGAGAGGAGGCAACGTGAGCCACCTGCCTTGTGCTTTTAAAACGGATGTGAAACATCCTTTCCAGCCAGGATCTATTCAGTTGCCACCATGAAGGTTCTCCAGGCCGAGAAAAAAAAAATCAAAAGGCAATTTAAAAAAATAACCTCATTGGGCACACGTAAGAAAAATGAGAAATGGAAGTAGCAGGCTAAAATGGAAATCAAATGACAGGAACAGGTGTTTTTGTGGGTTCCTTGGTGTTCTCTGAGCTTGTTTTCTTCCAGAGGTGTTTCGTGACCCAGCTAGATAACGTCACCGGTGCAAGGATGAAGGCACTGATGTTATTACCTAGTTGGGTAATGCAACATTTCTCAGCAAATAGCCAAGCTCAGAGAGTACAAAGGACCCCACGGTTCAACTCCAAGCTATAAACATCCGCCTAAAAGGTTTCTGAGCAATTTCTCCTGAGTGGGAGGAGGGTCTTGTTACGGCAGGGCGCCCACTGAGTTCCCCTTACCTGCCAGCCGCCTCGTGATAAGCAAGTTCCAACAGCTCCGCGGAGGAGTGAGTCCAGTCCCGCTGCCCACTGCCCTGCATTTCGGCCATGTTCTGACGGGTCAGGTGGTGGATCTGGATGGCTTCTCCAGAAGGACCTGTCCAATCGTAAGATTTATTGTTTCATTAATCTCCCTAATCAAAGCTGACTGAAATACTCTTTGGGTTATTATCTCTCCCTTCCTCTCTCTCTCTCTCTCTCCGCATGCATCATTCCAGTGCATAGGTTCCATTTCTAAAAGGGGGAATAGAGGCTCAGGCAGCTACAGGCTGGTAAGCCAGTTGTTATACACAGAAAAAAAAAAGGAGAGATTACTGAGCAGTGGAGCGTGAAGATACGCACTGCTAGCCCAAAACTGACATGAGTGCATGACATTTCCCCCCCATGTGCTGGGATGGGGTGCAGAAGAGGGTTGAAATAAGGGGCTGCATGTGGAAGCTTGTCTTTGCTACCAAGTTTTTAATGTTTATGGCAGGGGTGGGCAAACTACGGCCCGCGGGCCACATCCGGCCCGTTGGTCTTTTTAATCCGGCCCGCCGAAGATTGGTACAGAATTAAGGTTTGATGTGAATGATTGAATGATTGCATTCATTTGATTTTGACTTGTAATGACAGGTATTTTGACACCAGGTGGCGGCCCGTCTGTCAAATTTTAAAAGTCAATGAGGCCCCCGAGCCAAAAAGTTTGCCCACCCCTGGTTTATGGCTTCGTGTTTCAAGTGGCATCATGCTTCTTCTTTACTCTGCATTGGTTGGCCACACCGAAAGCCTTCTGGACTGACAGGTGGTGACTATATACACCAAGCACCGAGAGCTTCTGTACCAGAGAGCAATTCCTTGTGTGTCTAATCGCACTGGGCCAAGTAAAGTATTCAATTCGATTCAAGCAGACATCTGCTCCCTGGGAAAAAGTTTATAACAGAACTACAAAAAAATAATGAAGTGCAGAGGCATCACACTTCCGCATTGCTAGAGGCCTGTTTCCACAGCTGTGCGTCTGTAGACATTAGATGTAAAAACAAGCTGAATGAAGACAAAAAATAATGCCTCTAGATTGTGATTATCGAGAAGACCAAGGAGCAGAAGAGCAAACGATTCAACAGCAGATGAAACAAAATCAAGTTGCTCACTGGAAGCACCGCTAATAAAGTTAAAGACTGGATAGTTTGGAAACCCAATGCAAGTTGGCAAGAATCAGAGCTCGAGGACTGGAAAACCTCAAGGCAATAAAAGAGGCAAACAAAAGGTAAAACGGCTAGATACCGCCCCTAGTGAGGGACGCATGAGCTCACAGAACCCAAACAAGGTGGCGACTTGGACAAGCCCGATGAAATGGTGCCCACTGGAGAATTGGACTGAACGACTTTGTCAAAAGCATCTTACATTCAAAATAGCAACTTTCCATATGACGTAGCTGTCAAGTAGGCCTCTGAACAGTGACTTCCACGTTCAGTAAGATGGGAGTCAGTCAAGGGTTTTACATAATACTTTTGAATAAGATTCAGAAACTGAGAGTACCGTCCTCAGCCAGGCTCAGCCTTAGCCAGAGAGCCTGCTGTGGCTAATTTAACAAAAACAAAATAAAAGCCCAGTTTTATTCCAAGATTGCTCACACTGTTCTATGTAAACCACAATATGCCCGTGTTTCCTTGAAAATAAGACCCTATCTTATATATATTTTTTGCCACCCAAAAGGCACCAGGTCTTATTTTCGGGGGAAGTCATCCACTGTCTTCACTGACTTGTGTGTGTTGCTCCCTGCCTCCTTTTCGCTGTCAGAGGCCTTTGAAAACTTCTTCTGTGGCTGGCAAGGCCAGCGAGGCTTTCCTGAAGGCCTCTGAAGCCGATAACAGAGCTCCGCATGATCTGGAGTTCTATTATTGGCTGCAGAGGCCTTCAGGGAAGCCTTGCCAACTGCAGAAGAGAAAGGTCGCCAAGGCAGGTGTGATGACCCAAAGGGGCGTGGCACAAAGGCAACACAGTCAGATAATCAGATAAACCCTTTATTAGCTCCAACTTTGCCCCCAGCGTCCAGGTTACCTTCTGGCTGGAGAAAAACTCCCCCAGGAACAGCCTTTTGACTGCAGAGAATTCAGTCCAAAACAGGGTAAACGCAAATTGTAACTTAAAGTCCAAACAAGCCAAACTGAAGTAATTAGTTTGGCAGGGCAGGAGCAAGAATTTCAGACTTGAAAGCACGACAAACACTCACACAGTTGGGAAGATGCCAGAACTGGTACATGCGTATGGACCAGTGCTGGAAACAAAGCGTGGAAATATCTCTAGTCTATCCGTTCCTCTCCGAGTTTGGCGTCCTTCCTGGTGTGTGTTCCGATATCTGTGGACGTCTTCAAGCCTTTATCTTGCCTGGTTCCCTTAATTGTTTCGGTGTGGTTTGTGTTGTTTTTGCTCTTTATAATTTATAAGCATTTTTAGTTTAAATGGCGTTTCCCCCTTTCCGTAATTGTTTGTGGGGGAGTTTTTTTTGTCTCCAGTCAAGGATATTTGCAGCTTTGTAGCAAGGTGGAGGATAAATAAAAGGGGCTTCATCTGTTTTGGGGACTTTATTTTATATCCCACCCTGGGTCATCAGAAAAGGTTTGATTTGATTGGGGGGGCCGGGAAGCATCTTGGAGAAAACCTATTCATGTGCTTGCTAAGAGCGGACAACAGCTTGATGGCACATAGCCAATCAATCAATCAATCGACTCAAGCTTTCCTGACTGGGCTATGGGTCTCAGAGAGTATGACAACAGAAGCAGCTCTAACCAGAGAACAAAAAGCAAAGCAAACCAAGCTGGTTGCAGAACCCCCATGGTTGGCAGAAGCCCCCTAAAGAAGATGTCGCATATTACACACAACTACGCACACCAATAAAGATCAAGGAGGAGTCCCTTACCCACGGGAAACGTGTGCATCCAGCGCCTCCTGTTGGACGTGAGTTTCATGGGCATCCGGGAAGGGGCGAAAGGGTTGATCAGCGCCCGCTGTGGTGTGTATCCTCCCCCGGCAGAGCGGATGTGCAGCCGGGACTCGGCACTCCCCACGTGAAATCTTCCAGGGGCGCTCGAGTCTCGCTGCTGAGACTCCAACATGTTCTCAAGGTGATCTGTGAGGGGGGAGAAACTCATCTTCAACAAGGAAATTCCAGGAGCTCCCAAAAAGATCCGGCGCTGATTTGAAGCCAGGAGCCCCTTCCAAGGCAGCAAAACAGGAGCCAGTCAGTCTGCGAGGGCTGAAGACCATCCTCTCTAGGGGCATCCTTTTATGCAGCACCGAGGATTTATATTCCTTGCAGACAGCTGGTCATTTGCATCCTTTTCAAGGTCCTTGAAGCACTTGCAGGTTTATCTGGTCCTCAAGGTCACCTGAGGGCAGCTAATGCTTCCTGTAGCCTGCAATTTTCCTTTCCACCGCAGACTACAGGAACCAGGAAAAACTGCAGGTAAGGAACCATTAGCACTACCAAGGTGACCCTGAGGACCAGATAAACCTCCAAGTGCTTCAAGGACCCAGTGGAAGGATGCAAATGACCAGCTCTGCCTGCAAGGAATATAAATCCTTCCATTCCCCACTATTCCGTGAGAGCTGAAGAAGCTTCTTGGATGGGAAGCGAAATGTCCTCAAAAGAAAAAAAAACAAACGTCCAGTTGCCGCCTGAAAAAGCACCTTTGGGACCTTAAAGGTTGACAAAACGCAGAGCCCCAACTCCAGAGAAGTGACCAGCTCCGCTGCCCCGAGCCTTGTGCTGACCTCGGCTGCTGGTGTAGCCCAAAGAGCTGCTGACTTCGTACTGCAGGTGCAGGTGGGGCCGTGGGATCACGAGGATGTCTGAGATTCTCCCCAGAGAGCTGTCATCCGAAGCCTGGCTCCGAACCTCTTCGGGGGGCAGGGGCCGACTCTGCATGGAGGGGCTGGAGGAGGCATCGTAGGAGCTGGAGGTCTTCCAGGGCCGGCTCTCTCTCTCCCGTAGAGGCCTGCTGGGAAACCCACAAGGTGTCAGCCATTTTTCACGCTGGAGCCATTTTGGGGGGTGTCTTCAGGGCTGCCACAGCCAGGCCAGCTGGACCCTGTGGATAGCTGGGGGATGTCTAGCCAAAATAACGTTCTTTCCCGTGGGAGCCGAGGACGTTCTACCAATGTTGGGACAAGCGTGGACCAAAGCCAGCCAAGATGGTGGCTGCAACCTGGTTGGACCACGTGACGGACGTGTGACCGGAAGGGAAGACCTTGGGGGTTTGATTTGGGTGGGGAAAGCCTCCAGTCCTCAGAGTCGGGTTTCCCCCAGATGTGCCAATGTGACATGCCTAATAAACCTACGCTTCGAGGAAGATGCCTGCTTTGGAGCTTTGATTCTGTTGGGGGTGTTACCTGGAACCCTGACACTAGGAGCAGGTCATGCGGGGTGAGGAGGCCTGTACAATGGATCAAGGAGACTGCCGGGTTTTGATGGCATCGCACAGCAAACCGCAACACAGATCCTCTCCAGCTCCCTGACCAAGGTAGGGTGCCGTTTCCAAATTCCCCAGTCCATCCTTTGCTCAAATTATCTCCAACGAGAGACAACCCACCAGCTCTTGGGGATCTCTGTTTCCAACTGAGCTACCATTACTGTCAGGATGTTTCTCCTAGAATTTGGAAGGTTCTCTTCCTCCTTGGTCTCCTGCAGGCGAAGACCAGAGTCTGCCTCCCCTTCATCCTCTGTGGTGTAGAAAAACCCACCCCACCATTTTTCCACCCTGCGCACTGAAAACTGCCTCCCTAGACCCATCCTGCTGATCAGTGTCTGCGCTGCAATTCTGCACGGAACCTGGAGCCCGTAGGCCAAGCGGGACCGGGAGAAGACAGAAGCTGGGACAAGACGCTGCTGCTGGGAAAGTTGTTCAGCGAGAGTGGAGTACAGCAAGTTTCCGTCCTCCACGAAGCCATCTCCCTCATTGCTGGTCCCCAGATCTCGGACTCTTCCTACCTACCTTACCCAGTATTTTTAATTCTTGTACTCAGAAATCAAGTTTTGCCTCTCTTTTCCCCAGTGGAATCACCTAAGCTTGGCCATAGGCTGGCTTACCTGAAGGTGGTGCAACGCAGGGCCCTGGAGGGGCCGGGCAGGTGGAACACCTGGGCATCGTAGGCGTCGTAGTCCACTTGAATGGGAAGAGCATTCTCCGTCTCCTTAGGAGCTCCCAAGGCTGGAACACAACAAGCAGACCAGCCTGTGACTGGAGGGCCTTCTAAGAGCTGAGTCCCAGCGGGTGGACAAAGCCAACTGAAACCACTTGGTCAGCTTAAACAGGGAGCGTGGGGCTCAACAGAGTGGAGGGGTAGATCGGCAGAGTCAAGTCTCCACCTTCTCCGACTGCCTGACTGGATTCCTTGCCTACAAAGGTCGGGCGCTGCAGAGACAAAACTCATGAGGGGATCCTGGGAAAAAGCCTCAGCAGGACTGAAACTGTGCGGACTCTCCCTTGGGGGTCCCAGGCTGCCATTCTTGGGAGGTCTGGGATGCTTTCTCGCTCCAGGCCAGGCAGTCCAAGGGCCGGCAGTGCCAGGATTAACATAATTTGCATCGATCGTTATCACTTCATTTGGCTGGAAAAGGTGCTCAGTACGAGATGTTGGAACACTCCATGGTGGGGGGCTCAAGGCATGAAGTGGGGATTAAATTGCCATATCCGTGCACTGATCTTTGACATGCCCATTTTCATTTATTTATTTGTAAAGTTTATTGGCTGCCCATCTTCCCTCAGGGTTGGAACAGCCATTGTATGTGGCACAGAGGGCCCAATTTTATTGAGTCTGTTTATGGTTCTTTTTAAAGCCATGAAGACAGAAAATCGCTGGTGCAATAGAAGGGCTGGTTACAAATGGAAATACCGCCCCTGCTTTCTCTTCCATATAGAAAAGAGAAGGAGAGGGGAAACGGGAAAGAGGGAGAAGGAGGGAGAAGGAGGAGGGAAGCAACGTCAGATGGAAAAGGCTGGGATGAGGAGAAGAGGAAATGGGGAGGGGGCTTCGGAGAGAAAAAGTGAGTGGAAAAAAATCCCTCCCCTCTCAGCACGAACTTGCTAGCTGCACAGTGGAAGCGCTGGACGAAAACCTCTCATTCTCATCTTTTAAAAAGAGCAATGCAACAATGTAGGAGTTACTCACAAGATTCCCTGCTACTTTTGGCTTTTTCACTCTGCGGCTGAAATTTAATATGCAAAAAAAGAAAAAAAAACCTGAAATTAGCCTTTACAAGTTCTAGAGCAGACCTACCCAACGTAGCCCACCAAGCAGCCTTCTGCAGCATTGTCTGAAATAACCCATCTCTTGCCAGCAAAAGTGGCTGCTGCCAAGAAACTGGCCTCAACTGGGTTTTCTGGGCAGTCACTTCTGCCCCCACAGACAGGGTGCTGGGCGCCCCGGACACCACCGGGATGCGGGGACACTGCCAGTTCCAAGGCAGCTGCCAGATCATTAGCTGCCCAACAGCCAAATTGGCACAACCATTATCTGTGGGTCACAGTTATTTTTCACGTATTGATTGGAGCAGTCTCCCCCTCTGCGAGTTGCGCAGGCCTGCTCTGCAGGGTGAATTTTTAATTTCTCCCCCTTCAATCATTGTATTTCTGTGCTTAAAAATAGCTAGTGGCAATTATTCCTGGGGTTGAAATCTGAGCCGGTGCAGCCGCACTGCTATGGCTGCGCTCCACATGTAGGTCACTCCACTCACCTTCCGAGCTGCCAGTTTGATTCTTGGGGTGAAGCTGTTGCACTGAAGTTGACTTTTGGAAGTGTAGAAACTATAACGAGAGGGAAGCAGAAGGGATGGGCCAAAAACACAACAGGCTGGGGAAAATATCTGAAGCAGCCTCATTTCTGGACAGAGGGGAAAAAGCAACCGATCCAAAACAAAAGACGCGTGATCATTTCTGCTTCCTCCCAAATCCACTTTCTGCATCTTAAGCAGAGAAGAAATAAGGCAGCCAGGCAGCCGGAGGTGTTTGTGGGCCTTGGGAAAGTCAGCGGGATAGGCCTGTCCTCCAAAACCAAAGCTGCAATGGGGAGACGGCCCCACGTCAACACCGCCCGCTCCTGCCAGAGCCCAGCCGCAACGGTCCGGATTCCGGAAGCCCACCTGTGGTTGATCCAGTGGGGTATGTTGTAATCGTCTCCCAAGCGAGGATCCCCAGAACTGCAGCGATTGTGTAGCTAAGAAGAGGCGAGAAGGAGGAACCAGGAGTCAGACAGCTGTGAGGTGCTTGGTGGGCAAGGATTTAATCCAACCTGTGGCCCTTGGAAGACTGAATACAATGGTCCCAGTCGTACCAGCTGAGCCTGAGAAGCGATGAAGAAGCTGGCAGTGGCCTGCCCAGGTTTAAAAGAAGCATGCTCCTGGCCCTCAGTGTTAGGCACTCAGAAGCAACGGAAAACAAGCAGGCTTCCGCCAGCGAGGAAGACGGAGGTGTAAGCGCTGAGGACTCCTCAAGTCTTTCTCTGGAGCTCCTCTTCCTGTCTCCTGCCTTTCCCTTCCCTCCGATACCGAACCTCCCCCAAATACCACCAGCCTTCAGGTGGAGGCGCAGGGTGACCAACAAGGCCATCAACCCAGAGGACTTTTGAGTTCCTGTCCTTTCCCTCCTTAATCAATTTATTCAATAAGAAAGAAGAAAACCCAAGGAAAAAAAAGCTTGAAGCTAGGCTGGTAACGTCTGCAACCCCATGCTGCTTGCACGAATGCCAAGGATGGTAGAAATACAACCGTACGGGCACGTTTTAAAAATTGCACCCAGAAGCTTTACTCTGGCAGAGGAACGAAAGTAGCTGGCCCTTTGCCTTGGGTGTGTGTGTGTGTGTGTGTGTGTGTGTGTGTGTGTGAAAGCTGAAGGAGACAGACGGGCCGAGTCAGGAGGCCTTACCTTGAAGAGCGGCACTGCGTGGAGGGGCTGCTCCCCCATGCACACCAGATCCACCCCGATCCCTGCAAAGAGATGCAACCGAAAGAAGGATAGGAGAAGGAAAAGAAGAGAAACTTTGCCAGCTAAAGTACTCAAGGACTGCATCCAAGTGGCACAGTTTAAAAATGCTTTTGTTTGTGGGCAAACCTTTGAATCACATCAAAACCCCGAGACCTCTGGAAAATCGTTGGACCTTGGGGTCAAGAGGAACCAGCACCCACATTATGGCCTTGGGGGTGAAAACACTCTCTTCTTTTGAAGAGATCTTTCAGAGCGTGCATGAAAAATCTCTGTTAGGAAGAGGGAAGGGAATGTGTAGCTTCACAATTCCTCACTCACAACGAAAAACCCCCATTTTGTAGATAATATACGATGCTCATGTCTTTGACTGATGTCTCGTAAACAAACAAACAAACAACGGCCCTTATTTCACTTTATTTTACTGATGGTAAGATCTGACTTTCCAAAAGACCCAATTCTTTCCCCTGACTTACAGAGAGGATGGAAATAGGCTACTAAGGAATCAACAAGTCAGCAACGATGAATTACGGATGTGCAGGTTGAGAAAAGCCCTTCACGCGCTCTGTGCCTGCCAGCACCTCCTTAAGAGAAGCCGAATAGCCTTTTCCTTGGGCTGCAGAAGAGCCATCAGAGAAGAAGAACTGTCCACCTGGGACTTCTAGAGGCCCAAAGAGAGAGCCCACGCCTACTCTGAAGCACCCTGTCGCATCCCGTCGCAACTTCTTTCATCAAAGATGTACTTCCCGGGATCCCATATCGAGCCAGAGGCAGTTTCCCCGAAGGAGGTGCCCTTCAGGGGTGGCCTGTGCCCCACGTTTTCTCCACTCTGGCTTCTGACTTGAAGGGTTGCACATCCCTACCACAAAATGCCCCAACCTAGGAGGTGGCCTATTCAGCCTTTGCCTGCCATCGTGCCTTCAGATGCGATCTTCCCAGAGCCACACGATTCAGGAGGTGGGGGGGGGTGTCTTTGGTCTTATTCGGCTTCAAAGCTTTTGTTTGGATTTCCCATGAGGCGCATAGCCAGGAACTCACTAAGAAAAGAGGCAAATGGGCAAAGGGCAGCTCCACACTCTGGGTTGTGAATGAAGACAAGCGTTCAGATAGAGCTCTTCTCGTGCCAAATGAAAGACAAGGGCCCTTGCACATTGAGGCTACCCTGAAGGTTAAAGATTAAATTGAGATTCCATTAAATTAGATTAGATCAGAGAGATTAAAGTAACTCTGCTGCTACGAGTACAAGCCTGTCCGGAAGCTGATGGCATCTGACTCTCTCAAAGCCCTTTAGGAAGAACCAAGAAGAGTGCCAGGTTCACTTATGGGAATGCTTTGATCTCCAAATCTTGGGAAAAATCATGGAAGTTGACCCGGTTGTTTCAAAGCAGTTGATGATGGTGATGGTCAGAACGACAAAACCAAAGTCAACCAACTCTGAGGGAACACACCTTCTGGCTCTCCCCATACCTGTGCGTTTGCATGGAGAGGAATGTGGGGAGAAGGGAACCCCTAACCCCAATCCCCAGCACTAAGGCAAAAACTATAACCAATTGGATTTTATCCAATTGTTAACAGCAACAGCCACAACACTTAGACGTATATACCACTTCATAGTGCTTTCCAACCTTCTCTAAGCGGTTTACAGAGTCAGCCTCCTGCCCCCAACAATCTGGGTGCTCCTTTTACCCACCTGGGAAGGATGGAAGGCTGAGCCAACCTAAGTCAAAATGATAACATTATTTTACCATTGTCTATCATCCGTTGCTTGGTCAAGATCATGAGAAGCCGGTCCACTTCAAAGACACCCACCCCTGGCGTGATGACCACAGACATCTGCCCTGTCCGGTCGAAATTTCGGTTGATATAATGTTTGTCAAACACTAAAAAGGAACAAACAAGAACAAAAATTAAAAGGGCACCCAGACCTTTACAAAGGGCATCCCTTCCCCATAACAAAGGCAGTCACTTAAAGCAGTGGTCCCCAACCTTTTCCGCTTGGCAGCCCCGGGGAGGGGAGAGGGGAAGGTCCTGTGTGAGTGGCAGGTGTGTGCACGAGCGCAAGCACCCGACACGTGTGCAAGTAGAGCTGCATGAGTGCGCACGCTCACCTGCCGCTTCTGTGGCCCAGTTCCAAACAGGCCATGGCCTGGGGGGCGCCTGATTAAAAAAAAACAAGCCCTGATGCCATCTCCCAACAGTCCTCCAGGCCTTACCAAGAGGAAGAATCACGGTGTTCACCTTTGCTGCGATTTAGAACTTCTAAGTTATCAGTCAATTTGTTTGAAAAGCTACTGGGAACTGGAGAGACACTTTGTCCAATGCTCCTTAATAAGACAAGCAAATTTGCCCATGCTTTTTGTGGAAATAACGTATGTACAAGTGAAACTCAAGAAATTAGAATATTGTGCAAAAGTTCATTTATCTATTCAGTAATGCAACTTAACAGGTGAACCTAATATATGAGATAGACTCATTACATGCAAAGCAAGATAGTTCAAGCCATGACTTGTCATAACTGTGATGATGATGGCTTACAGCTCATGAAAACTCCAAATCCACAATCTCAGAAAATTAGAATATTACATGCAATCAATAAAACAAGGATTGTACATAGAACAATATCGGACCTCTGAAAAGTATAAGCATGCATATCTACTCAGTACTTGGTCTGGGCCCCTATTGCAGCAATTACTGCCTCAATGCAGCATGGCATGGAAGCTATCAGCCTGTGGCACTGTTGAAGTGTTATGGAAGACCAGGATGCTTCAATAGCGGCCTTCAGTTCTTCTGCATTGTTCGGTCTCATGTCTCTCATCTTTCTCTTGGCAATGCCCCATAGATTTTCTATGGGGTTCAGGTCAGGCGAGTTTGCTGGCCAATCAAGCACAGGAATCCCACGGTCATTGAACCAGGTTTTGGTGCTTTTGGCAGTCTGGGCAGGTGCCAAGTCCTGCTGGAAAATGAAGTCAGCATCCCCATAAAGCTCGTCTGCAGAAGGAAGCATGAAGTGCTCCAAAATCTCCTGGTAAACGGCTGCATTGACCCTGGACTTAATGAAGCACAGTGGACCAACACCAGCAGATGACATGGCTCCCCAAATCAACACAGACTGTGGAAACTTCACACTGGACTTCAAGCATCTTGCAGTGTGTGCCTCTCCATTCTTCCTCCAGACTCTGGGTCCTTGGTTTCCAAATGAGATGCAAAAGTTGCTCTCATCAGAAAAGAGGACTTTGGACCACTGAGCAACAGACCAGGTCTATTTTTCTTTAGCCCATGTAAGACACTTTTGACATTGTGTGTTGTTCAGGAGCGTCTTGACAAGAGGAATACGACATTTGAAGCCCATGTCCAGGATCCGTCTGTGTGTGGTGGCTCTTGATGCACTGACTGCAGCCTCAGTCCACTCCTTGTGAAAGTCCCCAACACTTTTGAATGCCCTTTTCCTGACAATCCTCTCCAGGCTGCGGTCATCCCTGCTGCTTGTGCACCTTTTTCTTCCACACTTTTCCCTTCTACATAACTTTCTATTAATGTGCTTTGATACAGCACTTTGGGAACATCCAACTTCTTTTGCAACTACCTTTTGAGGCTTTCCCTCCTTATGGAGGGTGTCAATGATGGTTTTCTGTACAACTGTCAGGTCAGCAGTCTTTCCCATGATTGTGATTCCTACTGAACCAGACTGAGAGACCATTTAAAGGCTCAGGAATCCTTTGCAGGTGTTATGGCTTAATTAGCTGATTAGAGTGGGACACTTTTGAGCCTAGAATATTGAACCTTTTCACAATATTCTAATTTTCTGAAATTGTGGATTTGGGGTTTTCATGAGCTGTAAGCCATAATCTTCTCAAGTATGACAAATCATGGCTTGAACTATCTTGCTTTGCCTGTAATGAGTCTATCTCATATATTAGTTTCACCTTTTAAGTTGCATTACTGAAATAAATGAACTTTTGCACGATATTCTAATTTTTTGAGTTTCACCTGTATTTGCCTGTTACACCAAAGAAAGTATAGAACCAAAGAGACTCCAGTTTTGTTTATAATGTGACCTTCTAGAAAGATAACTGAACACTTATATAAGCATATCATGTTTTATAACTTATTATTCTGTAAAGTTAAAAGTATTATGTCCTTGGCTGGGGTGGGGGTTTATATTTTAGCTTGAGATTTCATGTCAGAAAGACTGGGTTGTCCTGACATTAACAGAACTGGTTAATGATCCACTGTGTTCAGAACGTAACAGGAAGATGCCATGAGAACGAGGGTGGTTTCCAAAGAAAAGGAAACAGGTGGCATGCCATGGGTGTGGCATAGGGAATTACATAGTTGGATAGACTGTGAACCCAGGAAAGGGGCAGACACTGTATATATTCCCCAGCCTTCCTGGGGAAAGATGTCTTCTGCTATTAACAGAATTCCCTTTTGCAAAAGCTTAATAATAAAGCTCTTGTTTACTGTCTCGTTGTGTTTTGTGATTTTTCTCACAGCCCACATGCCTTGGCCTGACTTGGTCATGTTTGCCTGCAAAAGACAAATTCAGGATGCCTCATTTTCAGCTCAGGGGGACAATAGGGCAACACTACTGGCCTGGCCACATCGGAGGAACATCAGAAAACCCCGCAGAATTTTTGGCCAACAGTTCGGGATTTCCTTTGAAGAAAAACCAACATGGAATTCCCCAAAAGAAGAAATACTGAGTGTCACTGAGGCGTCTATCCTGCCCCATCTCTTCTTTATTTTGGTCTGGTGGTGAAGGCACCAGGATAGAAAGCAGGAGACTGTGAGTTCGAGTCCTTCCTTAGCCATGAAAACCGGTTGGGTGTCTTGGGGCCACTCCCTCTCTCTCAGCCCACCCCACCTCGCAGGGTTGTTGTTGTGGAGAAAATAGGAGGGGGAAGGCGTGCTGAATTTGTTCACTGCCTTGAGTTACTTGTAAGAATAATAAGGGCAGGATACAAATAAATAAATAAGGCAATGGGGCCCTTCCTGGTTCAAGAACATACCACGGCAAGACAGGAATTTCCCAAACTCACCATTGAACGAGAGGTTTATGGCCTCCAAATAATTTCCTTGAGCAGAGGTGGAGTTGTATCCTGGTGGGAAATTCTCTAATCGTTCGCCATCCAGAACAGCAGGAAGAAACAACAAAGGAGATAAAACCAGTATTCTTTATTATTATTTTGCTTGTTGCTTTAAGTTTTAACCATGATGCATGTCAACAATAGAAGCACAAAAGCAAGCATGGACCAGTCCCACCGAGGTTGAGAAGCCCGGGGAAAATGGTCTGTGTGGACCTTGTGGCAAGGGAGATCTTGGGCAAGGCCCTTCGGGGGGGGGGGGGGCACCCCACAGGCCAGAGGAGCCTTCGCAAGGCCCGGGCTCCAGCAAAGAGGCACCTGACCAGGGAGGAGATAACGCCCTTCGCACCTTCCCCACAGCTCCTTCCTTCCCTGGACTTGCCAGGTCAACCACACAAGCCTGCAGCTTGTTAGCCAGAGAAGCTCTGGCTTGCCTGCTCCTGGGGCCCACAGACATGACTGCTGCGTAACTCTGCGTCGGCCAACTCCCCAGCAGCAGCAGCAACAGCAGCAGAAGCCACAGAGTGGAATCAAAACCCGAAGGCAGCATTAGTAGTCCTTGACCTATAACTGCAATTGGGACCAGGATTTCCATCGCTGAGGAAGGGAGTTGGTAAGGGAGCCTTGCTCAATTACAACCTTTTTTGCCCCGGCTGTTACGTGAATCATCTGGTTGTTAGAACAAATCCGGCTCCCCCGCCCACGGCCTTTGCCTGACGGAACCTGGCTGGGAAAATGGCAAATAGCCATCACGTGACCAGGGGCTATGGCAACGGTCATAAATACATTCCAGCGGCCAAGCGCCCAAATTCTGATCACGGTGTTGTGGTCCGGCAGCAGCCAGCGGAGCTGATGGCAGACTCGGACAGTGAGGAGGTTGGGGAGGAACATGGGCCAGTCCTGGAGTCTGGGGAAGGCTCTGATGTCGGAGGCAGAGATGGGGCCAGGGACAATTATCAGCTGCCTTCAGAGATCAGTGGGGCAGAAGAACAGCTGGAGCCTGTTTCCAGTATGCGCATGCGCAGAGTGGCCAGAAGAAGGGAACAGCTAAGGAACAAGGGCCGAATTGGGAGTAAAGCCATAGGTGGACAGTAAATGGCCCCTCCCATAGGGAATAAAAGAGGAGCGAAAGGGGAGGGGTGTTTGCAGGAGACAATTAGTTCAACTCATTAGGGTGAAGATCTGTTCCGGACTCCTTGCTAAATAATTTCTGCTACAGCGTGGTGTTTGGGAGATATCGGCCTGGCAACTCTCCAAGCCTGATCAAGGTCTGTAGTTGTGAAATCTCTTGAAAGACTGTTGGCCGGGACTTTGCTGGAGAGGAATTCACTTTAACCTAAATAAAAGGGGTTTTATTAGGACGAGGAGTCGGCTTCCTGATCTTGGGAACAAGCCTAGGTCAGAACAGAGGGGGGTGTTGCAATGTTTGTAAGTCCAATGATCCACCATAGATCCCTTTTTGCAGTGCCATCGTAACTTCAAACTAAATGAATGGTTATAAGTCGAGGACTTCCTGTGCCGCCCATCACACCTCACCTGCCTTCTCCAGGCGCACCAGAACCGCGTACTGGATGAAGAGCTTCTTAATAGTCACAAGCAGAGAAGTCCACTCCTCTCGCCGTTCATTCTGAACCACAACCCTGCAAAGAGCATCGTGAGTGAGCCGCCCAGAACGAGCACAAAGGCCTGAACGAGGAAAAGAGCAGGAACCAAGTGCGGCTTACAGAGGCCCCGGCTCAGGCGGGGAAATTACAGGGAGGGACAGAAATCTTAAGCTGCTTCACATTCAGAATCTGCAAGGGAAAAATGCTGGACCTTTTTCAGAACAGCGACAACTTTATAGCTGTCACGATTCTAAAAATTTTTAAAAAAACATAAAATGACCAAATAGCTGTGCCCTGCTTCCATAAAAAAACATCAGATATTTAAAATTTAGGTAGATTTTCCCGTTGCAGTGTTTTCAGTCTTCTTTGTAAATGCCCAACTGCAGAAGATAGGGAGGCTGGCATCCACCAACCCACCTGCAACAAATTTTGTCCAATCACACTTGGCCAAATAAACTATTCTAGGTTGTTTTTTTTTTAATTTTTGCTTTCTGTTACTTGACAGCCCCTTAAGATCTAAAAGGAGAAGAAGTTTCTCTTCCCTATCTGGGCCTCCTGCAAGGGCTGCTGATAATCTGCTTCCAACGGCACCTTGTGCAAAATCTTCTCTAAAGACAGAAGACTGTAGACCAGGCAGAAGCTGCCTGGCCCCTTTAGACTGAGAGGTGACCTCCCCAAGTGGGCCTGCACCAATCCCTTCCTTAAAGGGGTGGCTACAGCCCCCCGAACCTGTTGCCCTGACCCAAGCGGACGGAGCCAGGTGGGGAATGACCCACACCTCCCACTCCCCCGCCAATGGGCCTGAGCTCATGCCACAGAGACCCTTCTCCACCTCTTCCACGTCAGGAATCAGGGACGTCAGAACTTCAAAACCAGGTCATAAATAGCCTGGGGAGGGGGATGTCTTATAACTTTGCCCGGTTGCCGAACAGCCAGTTGTAAAGCGAGGTCTGTGTAGATGAAGCTGCTTTATGAAGGAAGGCAAACTGTCTGTTCCCCAGAGAGGACCAGGGCTCTCCGCCTACAGAGGCCCCTGACAGGCAGGCGGAAGAGACGGGAACACCTACTTGTAAAAGTCTTCGTAGAAGTGCCCTTCGTGGTCCTGTTGCACTGAGCAACGATGCAATTCTGGAAATTCATCTAGAAACAAACCAAGCCAGGTATAAGAGGAAGCTGCTCTCTGCTGCTGCTTTAAGCATCCCGAGGAGGAGGAGGAGGAGGAGGAGGAGGAGGAGGAGGAGGA